GCTCTGGTTCTGGTCAGGTGCAGCTCAGGTTCTGTTCTGGTTCTGGTTAGCTGCAGCTCAGGTTCTGTTCTGGTTCTGGTCAGCCGTAGCTCTGGTTCTGTTCTGGTTCTGGTTAGCTGCAGCTCAGGTTCTGTTCTGGTTCTGGTCAGCCGCAGCTCTGGTTCTGTTCTGGTTCTGGTCAGCCGCAGCTCTGGTTCTGTTTGGTTCTGGTTAGCTGCAGCTCAGGTTCTGTTCTGGTTCTGGTCAGCTGCAGCTCAGGTTCTGTTCTGGTTCTGGTCAGCTGCAGCTCAGGTTCTGTTCTGGTTCTGGTCAGCTGCAGCTCTGGTTCTGTTCTGGTTCTGGTCAGCTGCAGCTCTGGTTCTGTTCTGGTTCTGGTCAGCTGCAGCTCTGGTTCTGTTCTGGTTCTGGTCTGGTTCTGTTCTGGTTCTGGTCAGCTGCAGCTCTGGTTCTGTTCTGGTTCTGGTCAGCTGCAGCTCTGGTTCTGTTCTGGTTCTTGTCAGCCGCAGCTCTGGTTCTGTTCTGGTTCTGGTCAGCTGCAGCTCTGGTTCTGTTCTGGTTCTGGTCAGCCGCAGTTCTGGTTCTGGTTCAGACTCATTAAAGATGAATTGGACCACTGAAAGCTGAGTCGTGACCTTTAACCTCTGGGAACATCAGCTGGTTTCAGAGCTGATCTTGGGTCAGTTTGGACCCGGAGCGGGCCGCTGACAGGTGACACCTGTCAGTGTCAGGTAACCCGTCTCAGAACCACCTGAGAACAGGTGTGTCTGCAGTGAACCTGGGTTCTGTTGGTGTTCCTGTGTAAAAGAACCCAGAAGGTCCTGTGAAGGTTCTCCGCTGTGAGTCCTGAGACGGAGACATCAGAGGACAGTTTGTCTTTGAAGATGGACGAAGACGTCCTGCTCCTCCTCCTCTGTCCCACTTCAAAACACCTGGACACACACAGGGGGGCGTGTCTCTGCAGGTGGATGTTTTGGGTTCTGATTCTGGCCTCATAAAGGTGGTCCAGATATCAGAAGGACTCAGGGGGTCAGACCTGGACCCGGTGGATCAGGGACTCCAGCCGTTTCCTCGTACAGGTGCTGCAGGCCGATTGTAGCCCTGCTCAGATTCACCTGTGTACAGGTGCACAGATGTGTAGGTGGTACAGGTACATGGTGTCCCAGGCCAGACTCCGCCCCTCTGTCTTGCTAATTAACCGAATCAGAACAACCCCCCCCATTTTAGCATTTGTCTGTATTTTAAGGCTTTAGAAACTCTTCCCACACTCTTACAATGTTCTAAACTCTTAAACCTTCTGATTTTAACAACACACTCATGTAGCTACTAAATTTTACTGACAGCGCGTCCCCGCCCGCAGGTCCTCGTGGGCCGGGTACCAGCTCTCAAGGTTCACCGATATGTCTGGAGGTCTGGTTCTGGCCCGGTTTGGTGGATTCCATGCGGTTCCTCCGCCTCCACTGGGCCGACCAGATCAAAAATTTCCATCTAGTATTTCAGCAGAAGGAAATGGGGCTTCTGGGAAATGTAGTTGTCATGAGTGGGAATAAAGTGGAGGCTTATTGAGAGAAAACTACAAAATGGCGGCACCTGTCTGAAGTATTTTATTTTTTAGTTAACTTTTTACTGTACTGTCCCGGTCATGTGACCAACATTAAAGTTCACAGTCTTGTAAAAAATTTATCGCGTTCAGTCTTACTTTGAAAAATCTCAAAAGAACGAGTCCGCGACAAACGAACCGCGAAGTAGTGAGGGACTACTGTGTGTGTATAAAACTCCATCTGAGGAAACTGCTCTCTAGTTTTTATACTATATTTAACTCTAATGATTGGGGTGGCTGGAGATGACTCTAGGGGGGCCAGGCCACCACTGGCCACCCCCTGACTCCACCACTGCTCCTGGTGGTGGATAAAACTGCTCCCTCCACTCTCCTGGATCTGTTACTCAAAATGAAACCTCCCTCCGTTCTCCACAGAGTAACTCTTGGATGTCTTGCAGTAAAAACATTTAGGTTTACGTCGTCCTCTGTTCCAGTCTCCAACGCTGCAGGAATTCAGAACCCCTCCGTGACGGGTCGTCAGAGCACCGCTTGTTTAAATTAAAAATGGCTGCCACAGCTGCCTGTGCAGTCACAGAGCTGGTGCGAGACGCTGAGCTTTATCTGGAGTGGTAGTAGCTGCTGGTGGTCTGCAGCAGATGTTGGACAGCTGTTCTGGTTTGAGTCGTCGTGTCGACGCTCCGAAACACGAAGAGTTAATTTTTGTTCTCAGAGCGCAGCTGGTTCTGTGGTGTGTTGTCGGGTGAAACAGAACCATGAAGCAGCTAAAAGAGCTGGACAGATGCTGGGGGGGCGGGCTCAGGTTTCTGTCCCCGCCCCCACTCTGTGTGTGTGGAGGTTCTGCCTGGCTCGGTTCTCCATTGTCAGGTTTTTTCCACCACAGAAGAAGAAAACCTTCTGTTTTTCTCCTTCGGCTGCAGGCAGAGCGAGGCGTTGGAGCTTCGGCTGTTTTAAGCCCTCAGCAGCAGCTGGTAGGTTTATCTGATCATCGATCAATTATTGATCCGTCAGTTTGTTTACCCTCTGAGGGACAGATGTTTGTTAGGTTTCTCCAGCTGATGTTGGAGCTGTACGTCTGTTGAAGGGTGCTGATTCTTCACCTCCTGTTGAACGATTTTCCATCAATCACATCAATTGATTAGCTGACGCTGTGTTACTGGACCTGTCAATCATCTGACCTCACCGTCCACTCCACACATTAATTTGTTGATTCACTGATTTTATTTTGAAATTCACAGACAGATTAACTCTGTCAACTAATCGATCATCTGTCCTTTGATGAATGATTGATTTAGAATAAAGCGGACGGAGGCTTGAAGGTACCGACATTCTGGTCGACCAGAACCGGGCGTTTGGACCTGCGCTGTTTTCTGTCAGATATGAAGTGAGTAATCTTCAGCTGCAGCCTTTTTCATAAATATAAATATACAAATATAAACTTCTGATCAGCTGACCCATCGTCTTAACCCGTTCAGACTCAAACATCTGGACACGTGTGGCGTTCAGGTGCAGCCCAAAAAGACCATTTTTACCCACGCTGACTTTAATTAGATCCAAAACTGGTTAATCTTCAGTGAGAGGGCTGCAAGAGTGGGTACAGCATGTAACTTTAGGAGTGCCAGCACATCGAGTACAGGCTGTGGTTTTAAAACAAGTATTACTACGCCGAAGAAAGTAGTCCCCAGTAAACACTCTGCTGAAACAGATGTTTTCATTCAAACCAACTGAAGCTGGTTTCAGGACATCAGGATGTTTGTGTGACTCAGGAGGCTGGTGTTTCCCACCGGAACAGCTGTTCATGAACGCATCACTCCATGGGTCATCAGAACTCGAGAACATTCGAGTTTCCCTTCTCGGGTTTGGATTTTTCTGACAGCGGTTCTGGAGCTGATCTGAGCGGAGTCGTGCTGGTTCTGCAGGAACCCAACATGGCCGGACCCACGGGTCGTTACATGAGCTCTTCTGAGCACATGCAGACGGACTGTCTGGTTCTGTACGGAGAGCCGCAGGGGACAAAAACCTGCAGCAGCTTCAGTTTGACATGACGGGTTCAGGTTTGATCCTGAAGCTGCAGATCCGGTTCTGGAAACTGAACTGGATCTGAACTTCCTGTCCCAGTTCCAGTAGATGTTAAGACTCCTCCGTAAGGACTCCTATGACCTTTAAGAACTCAAGAAGAATTGTCTTTATTGTTTTTTTACACCTGAAGAACCAGAACCAGGTTCCATGTGAACAAGATGAGCCATGAAAAGATGAATAAATCCATTTTAGAACGGTTCCGGTTCTTGTTCAGAGATCAGGGAGCGGACCTGAGACCGTTTCTGAACCCTTCTCTGAGCTCACAGGAGCGTTCTCTGGAGCTACAAGACGTTCTGGTTCTGGTCACCTGTTTGGACTTTTGTTAAACGTGTTCAGGTTCAATTTTTGTTCTTGGCTGCAGCTCAAGATTATTCACTACAGAACTGATGAGTTTAATTTTATATATATATTATATATATAAATGTGTATGTAGTGTATGTATATTGACAGTGAAGTTGAGGGTTAGATTATCTCTGAAACTTTTGAACTCTGATTTTTCTGGACTAAAGATTCTGGTGCAACCCGACTCTGGATTATCTAACCTGGATTAATTTGGCGGTTGGGCTCGTGCTTGCAGCTGCGCCTCCATGTTGTGTCCGGCGTCCTGCCTGCCTCTCCTCAGGGAGCTGGCTCAGTGGCGCTGCCTGCTGGGTTGGCACCGCCACCACGGAGTCGGGTCATCGAGCGGCGCCACGGCCAGCGCCAGCCAGCAGCAGGGGTCAGAGGTCAGGGACAGAAACCGGCGACCTGTCGGACGCACCAGACCTCTGCCGGGCAGCCAGGTGAGTCCTGGTGAGACCTGCTTCTGGTTCCTGGTACTGACGAACCCACACTGAGTGAAAACAGAATTGAAAATTATTTTTCTTCTTTTAGACAGCAAAACAAGAAAAACCTGTCAAAACTGAAGCTGTAACTCTTCAGGTAAACAAACAAACAAACAAACAAACGTTGGCTAAGCCTCAGGTCAGTCGATGGATGTTTTCTTCTCTCTAAAGTCTAAAGGACTCAATAAAACAACATTCTAAATAATTTAAAACCTAGCTCCATCTTATATTACAGATCTTATTGTTCCATATTTTCCTAACAGAGCACTTCACTCTCAGACTGCAGGTTTACTTGTGGTTCCTAGAGTTTACAAAAGCAGAATGGGAGGCAGATCTTTCAGTTCTCAGGCTCCTCTCTTGTGGAACCATCTTCCAGTTTCTGTCCGTGAGGCTGACACATTGTCCAGTTTGAAGACTTTCCTTTTTGATAAATCCTATTGTTAGGGTTGTTATGCTGCTGTAGACTTAGACTACTAGAGGACAAACGGACCTCATTTCCTTAAATGAATTGTTTAAATTAAATAGTTTTTATTTGAAACTATTTCTATCTTAACATGTGATTCTTGACCTGCCATTGTGTATCTGTTTTTACCAAACCCAGCTGGTCGAAGCAGATGGTCCTCTTGTCCTGATCCTGGTTCTGCTAAAGGTTTCTTCCTCATGAGGGAGTTTTTCTTTCCACTGTCGCCTTCATGCTTGTTCAAGATGAGAGTTCAGTGATGGAGTTAAACTCAAAGCTGCTCCTCAGATAAATCGCGTTATTAACTTACTTTATATATATATATATATATATATATATATATATATATATATATAAACACACACACACGCTAACTATAGGATTTATCAAAAAGGAAAGTCTTCAAACTGGACAATGTGTCAGCCTCATGGACAGAAACTGGAAGTTGGTTCCACAAGAGAGGAGCCTGAGAACTGGAAGATCTTCCTCCCATTCTGCTTCTGTAAACTCTAGGAACCACAAGTAAACCTGCAGTCTGAGAGCGAAGTGCTCTGTTAGTAAAATATGGAACAATAAGATCTGTAATATAAGATGGAGCTAGGTTGTTGAGAGCTTTGTAGGTTAGAAGTAAGATTTTGAATTCTATTCTGGATTTGACAGGGAGCCAATGGAGAGAAGCTAAAACTGGAGAGAGATGATCTCTCCCAGTAACTCCAGTTAAGACTCTGGCAGCAGCATTTTGGATCAACTGAAGACGTTTTAAAGAAGTATTTGGACACCCAGATAATAAACCATTGCAATAGTCCAGTCTAGACGAGACAAATGCATGGACCAGTTTTTCTGCATCATCTTTAGATCAGATGTTTCTAATGTTAGTGATATTACGCAGGTGGAAGAAGGAGGTTCTAGTAACGTTTTTAATGTGGGGGATAAAAGACATGTCCTGATCAAAAATAACACCAAGATTTTTAACATTAGAGCTGGAGGACAGATTAATGCATCTAAGGAGGGAGAAAGACTGAAACATTCATTCCTAAGGTGCTCAGGTCCAAAAACCAAAACCTCAGTCTTGTCTGTTCAACAGGAGAAAATTAAGGGTCATCCAGGTTTTTATGTCTTTAAGACATGCTTGTAGTCTAAGTAGCTGATTGGATTCATTGGGTTTAATGGACAAATATAA